CATCACCCTTGCTGCGCAAGGGGAAGACCGTGGTGTAACGCGAGTAGTCGTCAACCACCAGCAGGAAGAAGCGCTCGTGACCCTGTCCACGGACGCGGGCCGGGCCCCACACGTCCATGTGAAGCGTCTGCAGAGGAGCCTCTGTCGGGGGAAACTGGGAGGAGTGAGGGGCAGCCCGGAGCCGCCCCTCGACACAAGGGACACAGGAAGGTCCTGGCCCCGAAGGAAGGGGAGGGAGAGACTGAGGAAGACCAGAGACAAGGACACGAGAAGCCATGCCCCGAAGACGCGGCAAGGAGGGGTGGCCCAGACGGTGGTGCCACAGGAGAGTCTCGTGAGACAGGAGGCGACACGAGCAGGGGACAGACTCAGGACCAGACCGGGACGCAGCAGCAAACACCTGACCCGACGCAGCTATCTGGCCAGACGCAGGGACAGGAGGAGACTCAGTGGTCAGGGTGTAGAGGCTCGACCCCGGCCGACGCGAGAACGTGGCCAGGTGTCGGCCTGTGCGTGCGTCCGTGCAGTGGGTCACCCGCTGACTCGCAGGAGTAAACTGGTGAACCCCCGCATCCTGCAGGTCAGCACAACTCACCAAGTTCGTCGAGAACGAGGGGAGGTACAGACCAGACAGGGTGCCCGAGGGGGCAGCCGGACACGGGAGGACAGTGGAGAAGTGAGAAAGGACAGGACCCCCAGAGGGGTCAGCCAAAGAGACTGCAACCGGCCGACCAAGCGGCGTGAGTGTGGTGCGGTCTCGAAAGAAGGAGCGAGAAGCCCCTGAGTCAAGTGTGAAGGTGAGGGGGGCCGAAGCCGACGCAGTACCTGAGAGCGCAGCCTCACCAGTACCTGAGAGCGCAGACGCACTGGCACCTAGAGCAGCAGCCTCACAGGCACCTAGCGCAGCAGTACCAATGCCCGGGTCGGGCGGGAAACACCGGTAACAGTCACCCTCATCACTAATAGTCACAGCATACATGGCAGCAAGGATAGCATCAAAGTCGAGATCATAGATAGCTACACCTGCCCTAGACAGCTCTCCCCAGCGGGGGATCTCACTAGCCTCGGGGAACTGCTGACGCCAAGCGTCCGTCAGGCGGCCAAAGCAGCGCTGGGTGGGGTGGGCACCCCCACACTCCTCACCCGCGCGGTCGCCGGAACGAAGAACGTAGGTGCACGGTCCAAAGCCCCCACCACGCTGACGCTGCGTGTACCACTCACGGAGCTGCTGAGGCGGGGGGATGTCCCGAGAACGCTGTTGCTGCTGCTGCTGGCGCTGACCACCACCAGAGCTGCTCCGCTGCGAGGCACCACTCCGACCAGCTCCACTCCCTCCGCCACCGCCGCCTCCACCTCCGCCACCACCTCCGCCTCCGCCTCCGCCACCACCGCCGCCTCCGCTCCCTCCGCAGCCGCCGCCACCGCCTCCGCCCCCGCTGCCGCCACCACCACTACCACCACTCCCACCGCCACCCCCACTCCCTCCGCCGCCTCCACCGCCACCACCGCCCCTGCCAGCTCCACTCGCGCCCTTGCCCCCCTTGCCCTTGCCAGGGCGACGTCTCCCACTAGGGGCGGACGCCGCGCCGACCGACTCAAGACCAAGTAGGTCAGCAGCAGCAGCAGAGGCAACAGAGGGCAGCAGGGGGGAAGGAGAACACCCCTCAAAGATGGGGGTGCGAGGGTCACCACGAGAGGCTCCTACAGCGACGATACTCTTCGCCGCCGACAGGAGGGCCTTCTCGAGGAGGTCGACAGTGAGGGTGGTGGGACAGACTGAGAGGAAGTGGTCCCTGACTACGCGAAGGGAGTCAGGGAGGCGTGTGACTATGTAATAGAGAGAGATGTACATGGGGGGGGGGGGGGGGGGTTCTTAGCGCAGAACTCAGCAGGAAGTGCGGCGCGGTAGCGAGTGTCAGAAGTGCGAAGATGCGTGATGAGGTCAGCGACTGTAGGAAAGGCAGCAAGGTCAGGAAAGAGGTACGGTAGCATGAGGCGGCTCAGTGCAGCAGTGGCAGGAGAAGAGTAGCGCGCAAATACAACGTCGTACAAGGTCTGAGCACTCTTGTACAGACTAAAGTGCGCGCACACAGTGGTAGGGAGGTGGCGACGCACAGCAAGACGTGCAGCAGCATCGCGGGTGGCCCACTGAGAGCGAACAGTGGGGTCAGCATCAGCAGCAGAAGGAAGAGAGGCGCCAGAGGTGAGGTCAAAGAGAGAAAGACCGTCCGCCTTATCGCACTGTAAAAACATCTGCAGTTCGTCGACCCAGACCTCAAAGTCAATGGCTCGACCCTCAGCGTCAAAAGCGAGGACACTAGAGGTAGCCATGACGACAGACTAGCAGTGCAAGCAGGGGGGAAAGGGCACGCAGTAGCAGTGGGGGCCGTGCTCACCAGACAGGGCAGGTCGGGCAGCTCGGCAGTAGGGCGGCTCGGCTGCGGGGCGGCTCGGCAGCTAGGCGGCTCGGCTGCTGGGCGGCTCGGCAGTACTGCGGCTCTGCGGCTCTGCGGCCCGGCGGCTCGGCGGCTGCTGCTGGGCGGCTCGGCTGCTCCGGTACCGGGCGGCGTGGCGGTCGGCTGCTCGGGCGGCTCGGCAGGAGGGGAGACCGGCGAGGCCGCGAAGGTGAGGGCGGCGGGGCCGCGTAGGTGAGGGCGGCGGGGCCGCGTTGGTGAGGGCGGCGGGGCCGCGTAGGAGAGGCGGCGGGGCCGCGACGTGAGGGCGGCGGGGCCGCGTAGATGAGGGCGGCGGGGCCGCGACGTGAGGGCGGCGGGGCCGCGTAGGTGAGGGCGGCAGGGCCGCGACGTGAGGGCGGCGGGGCCGCGTAGGTGAGGCGGCGGGGCCGCGACGTGAAGGCGGCGGGGCCGCGTAGGTGAGGGCGGCGGGGCCGCGACGTGAGGGCGGCGGGGCCGCTTAGGTGAGGCGGCGGGGCCGCGACATGAGGGCGGCGGGGCCGCGTAGGTGAGGGCGGCGGGGCCGCGTAGGCAAGGGCGGCGAGGCCGCGAAGGTGAGGGCGGCGGGGCCGCGTAGGTGAGGGCGGCGGGGCCGCGACGTGAGGGCGGCGGGGCCGCGACGTAAGGGCGGCGGGGCCGCGTAGGTAAGGGCGGCGCAACGGGCCGCTAGGGGCGACACGGAGGGTCGCTAAAAAAAAGGAAAGCGCGCCTCAGGGCGCGCTTTGGTGGGCCCTAGAAACAGTCCCTAGGAGGGGACCTGCTCTGATTCCATGTGATAAGGAGAACGCGAATGAATGAACTATGAATGGAGTGAGTACATATAGGAAGCCCTAATTGGGTTGTACCCCTTATGGGATACCCCACTATAGCCTACAGAACAGCATAAGCTAGAATGTTCTGACAGTGAGGTTGAAGGAAAATCTAGAAACCGGATCCTACCATTGTGTTTAATTTTGTCATCCAGGGCCTCAGATTCGTTTTGGGTGACCCTGAGCACTCAGGGTCCCTTGGGGCTGTAACACTGATCATCAGGGTTGCCTGTGGAGAAACACTGATTTCTCAGGGTTGTTGAAAAAGAAACACTGATCAAACAGGGTGCCTTGTAAGTAAACACTGATCAGTGAATCTACAGCCACAAGTGCAATAACTTTTAAAAAAAAAAAAAGCGAATCTCTTTGCGCCGTTTTGCCTACCCAGCACGAAATTACCCCATTCAACTGTATCTGGGCGAGCCGCATGGTGGCGTCGGTGCAGGGTGGGTACATGAATGATGACGGCGCGCAAAACAGCGAGCATCACGGAGTTTTCGGTTTCGGGGTCGTCTCCGATGCAACACTGATTCGTCAGTGTTGTCAAACAGGAAACACTGGAAAATCAGTCCTTGGAAACATAAAACACTGATTCATCAGGGTTGTAAAAAGAAAAAGGCTGATAGATCAGGATCACAATAAAAAACTGGGGTCAAACTTCAGGAAATCAGGGTAAAATTCCTGAAATCTGAGGCCCTGTTGTCATCTAAGAGCCAGTATTCGACTGGTCCCCGTCCAAACCGTTAAGGCCGAAAAGACTAGAAACAGTTTACACATTGCTATGTTCTAGGACTTGTCCAAGGAGGTGAGTTTGAAACACTTTCAAGGGATTGAACCCGCAATTGGGAATGTTCATCGCATCTGTTTTTGCGTAAGTTCAAGTCAGTCGACCCAGCGACAGTGTGAGACGTCGTCAATTGACGACAAAGGCCACCTGGGGTCACATTTCGTACGACGGGGTGTGGTCGCAATGGGGGTGCGGAAGGCGGAAGAAAACTCACGGGTTCGAGAAAGCGACTTGGATTTCTCTGCCAGCGCTAAACGCCAGATTGGATCCCGTTCTCAGGTTAGAGAATTGGTACCGTTGGCGCAGATGCGTGATTCTCAGGAGATGAGTCGGGCCGTCGAAACAGCCCGACGGTCCGTCTTGCGCCCAGGGGAATAATATTTCCTGCCCATGGTCAATCAACCACAGTACGTCTGTTATTGACGCTCCGTAGATTTCAACCGTGTATTATCGACGCTTGCCAATTAACCAGTTTCAATGGTTATCAGTTGACCGTTGAGACGCATCTATTGAGGCAAGTGCGAGCTTGGAAACAAAATAATGGCAAATCCAAGGAGTTCAAATGTGCAGGACGTTTCGACACACTTCAGCTTCACACGTTGATCTTTTCACCCTGCATGTGAGACGTTTCTTAGACTTGTGCTAAGGACGTACAGGACAAACAAACAAACGAATGGAAACTAAGCACCTGTAAGACATTATTGTAACCAGCATCTCTTAGACACTGTAATACATCTGGATGACAGGGGGGCGGGGGCTTTAAAATACAAATAGCAGAACAAATTTCAAATGGGGCGTGTGGGATACTACGAGCCTTTGGTTCTGAGGCAGGCCCATTGCCGCAACCAACCAAATCAAATCCGATGGTAACGCGACTGCGGTAGTTACAAATGGTAACTGGGTTACTTCTTCAACGGCGTGCCGGCGGCACCATAGTCGCAGACACCGGCAATGCAGGTTCCGCGGCAGAACCTGCCGCATTTGCCGCAGTTCTTCTTGTCGGTAAGCAGCGAGGTGCAAGTGGCCGAGCAGCACATGAAATCGGTGGCGCAGTATCGGTTGCAGCTGCCGCAATGGTTTGGATCCGACTTCAGGAAGGTGCAGAGACTGCAAGCAAAGAAAGGGAGGAAGAAAACAGTTAGAAGCCGGACATGTAAATATATAAAAACAAGGAAAAAGGTGTAACAGAAGACGCTTAGTTATTTTAGCACTTACGAGCCACAGAGGGTTTGGTTCTGCAGGCAGCCGTTGGGCTGGAGCGCCACGTCTCCAGTAGTGCCAGTGCTCCCAGATGTCCCAGTATTGCCACCGCCGTTAGTGCTGCCACCGCTGTTGGTGTTGCCGCCCGAAGCGGAGCTGCCACCGCTGTTGGTATTGCCGCCCGAAGCGGAGCTGCCGCCAGAGTTCGTGTCGCCGCCCGAAGCGGAGCTGCCGCCAGAATTCGTGTTGCCGCCCGAAGCGGAGCTGCCGCCAGAGTTCGTGTTGCCGCCCGAAGCGGAGCTGCCGCCAGAGTTCGTGTTGCCGCCCGAAGCGGAGCTGCCGCCGGAGTTCGTGTTGCCGCCCGAAGCGGAGCTGCCGCCGGAGTTCGTGTTGCCGCCCGAAGCGGAGCTGCCGCCGGAGTTCGTGTTGCCGCCCGAAGCGGAGCTGCCGCCGGAGTTCGTGTTGCCGCCCGAAGCGGAGCTGCCGCCGGAGTTCGTGTTGCCGCCCGTAGCAGAGCTGCCGCCGGAGTTCGTGTTGCCGCCCGTAGCAGAGCTGCCGCCGGAGTTCGTGTTGCCGCCCGTAGCAGAGCTGCCGCCGGAGTTCGTGTTGCCACCCGTAGCAGAGCTGCCGCCGGAGTTCGTGTTGCCGCCCGTGGCAGAGCTGCCGCCGGAGTTCGTGTTGCCGCTTGACTTCGTGTTGCCGCCCGTAGCCGCGCTGCCGCCGGAGTTCGTGTTGCCGCCAGTAGTGGAGCTACCGCCGCCGCTGGCCGTGCTGCCTCCGGAAGCGGTGGTGCCGCCGCCGCCCGTGGCGGTGGTGCCGGTGGTCCTCGTACTGCCGGCGGAAGTGGTGCTGCTACCGCTACTGCCACCAGCAGCAAGAATCCTCATCCGCCGTAGGCGTGCATTACCGCGTGACGATCGGACAGCGAATCGCTGCACAATGACGGGAGGGAACAGAAGAAAGGAAGGGCGAGAGAAGGAGGCGAGAGAAGTCAGCTCGGAGCGAGGAAAAGGGTAAGAAAGAAACGAGGCATGAGGCTTCGTATGTACCCCGACGACTAGGAGACCGAGGTTAGCTGACCGGGAAATGCGCCTTCAGCGGAAACATTGCCTGACACTACTATCCTACGATCTGGACGGAGTTCAGTAGCTGACTGACCTCAAAATCAGCGTTGAGGCCAATATCATCGACTGATGCGGCGCCGTACTCGGGCAAAAGCGCAATAACCAAGAGCGCTACGGTTATGACTTGAAGAAGCTGAGAGATCTTCATCGTCTCTCTTCTGCCCTAATCTGCTCGAGCTGTTCAACCTGTCAGGAGTTTCGCCCTATTTCTCGGGGAGGCAATGTGCTTGAGTATACAGGAGACCTCCCTCTAGACTACTGGAGAAGATCTAGGAGCGGCTGGTGTTAGATGGGGAAGTAGTAGGGTGATGCAATTGCAAAACTTGGAAGATCAAAGTCATCAAAAGGTGACTTCTCGTACGCCTGTCCGTCTGATGGGGCTGGGCTTGTTAGTGCTGTTGCTGTCGTATCCGCAACGTAGATTTTGACTACGTGCCTGGCATGGGCAGCCTCGCTCGTTCAGTTCTTCAGGTTCTGATGAAACCACCTGCGCGAGTCAGGCACAGCCCAACGACAGGACTCAAGCAATCCCAATTCTAATTTGCCAGGTGTGAGGTTCGGCGATGTGGCGAGTCGCAGGATTGACTTATTCGTTACGAGCGAAAGCTCGATCTTTACATCCTGGTTACAAAACCAGAACGAAATCGCTATTTGATTTCAATGGGGAGAAACTGACTAGATATCCCCACGAGAATTGTCGCCAGCCTTCGTTACTTGGCAGCCCTTCGTGACAGATGTTCTGGACGTCTGATACATCAGAAAAGGACAAAAGTCCTCCAAACCCAGTGCCACTGAGTTTTGAGCGAGAGTTTCTTCAGGTGGGAAAGCAGCGAGGTAGTACAGTAGCCACACCAAAATGAGAAGCGACAATATTTCTGGACAGTGGACTCCACCAACCTCGGGCAACCCGCTCTGCTTGACGAATGAAACGGAATGGTAGGAAAAACGGGACACCAGCGTCCCGTGATTTCTTCAAGAATTTCTCGTGTATAGAACGGCTTCCTACCTGAACATAGAACAAGGAACATCTTCAATGCAAACCTATACAACCAACTGATATCACATGCAATGCATAAAAACGTTCATCACAATCAAATCATACCATCACCCATGTCACAACTACATGTCATAAATGTTGGGAACAAACAGTCCTAAGTGCCTCTGTCGTGTCGAAACACCAAGACACAAGCGAAGCAACGCATATCGAAACACCAGCGAGTCAACCCTCGGAGGTTGATGTAACCGCTGGAGATTACGCGAAAGTCAAAGGTCAGCGACCTTTGACCTGACAAATGCAGCGCGACAGCAAGGACACACAACTGACTCGACATTGAGCAGTTGCCCGAGTCGCACTGTATCGAACCGCAACAGTAAAGTAGTTATAATTATGTCTCTTCATATTCTCTATATTCATATATATATTCTTGTATCTCTTTGCTTTAATCAACTTACTTTGCCCTCACATACCAGCGCAAGGTGGTTCAAGGACTTTACTCATAACGCTTCCGCTACTACATCATTTACTAAAAGACTTTAACTCTACTAAAGATCCTAGGGCGTTCAGCCCAACAATAAAGATCATAATTTAATATTTTTCGGCTCTGAAGATATTTCTCAGAATCAATTTGTGCACAAATATCGGTTTTCATATATTAAATATATGTGTCTCTTAATGTATGTGCACTAACAATATTACCGCATACAATCCATCGGGTTCGTTTCTATGTACCCCAAGCCTCCAGGGCGATTCCACTGAAACTAGTATAGCCATGAGAGCAAGGGGGTACGGATATGGTATCTTAAATCTTTTGTATTGGTAGACCTACACTATGGATCCCCTATTCATCCCATGGGTGTTAAGGGCGCATGCACCCGCTACTTAACACGCCCTTTTATCCTTATGGTTTAGTGATTGAAATTCTGACATGGTATCAGAGTGGAGGTCTCGGGTTCGAATCTCGATGTATACACATGTGTGAAAATAGAAACGTTAATAAATTTACTACGAACGAGGTGAGTACAAATAGGAAACCCTAATTGGGTTGTACCCCCTATGGGATACCCCACTATAGCCTACACAAACAAGTAAGCTATAATGTTCTGACACACCCCCATAGGCAAAATGGGGGAGAACAAGGGGTCACAAGACCAGTCAAGCAAAGCAAAGCAAAACTCAGGGTGGATCACAAAGTCACCACACATTCCGAGCACAAGGTCAAGGGCCACAAGGCCAGTTCGCATGCAAGATCATATATAGAGATATACAAGAGTCAAGCAAGCAAGAGCAAGAGTATATATAGGTCAAGGTACAAGCAAGGTCAAGAAGTGAGCAAGTGAGACAAGACAGGCACAAGACCCAGCTACGTGCAGCAACGCTGATGATCACAAGGCGCAAGTGCCTTGGTGAAGACATCAGCAGTGTTGGCCTCAGAGGCCACGTACGCAAGTCGCAACTGTGAGAATACTAGAACAGGAATGAAAATGACTAACTGAAAGTTGGGTACAAATACAAACCCTAGAGAGCTGTACCCCATATGTGCTACCCCACTATAGCCTACAACAGCTATGTCATATATATCTGACACACCCCCATAGGCAAAGTGGGGGAGAACAAGGGGTCACAAGACCAGTCAAGCAAAGTAAAGCAAAACAAGCTCAGGGTGGATCACAAAGTCACCACACAGTCCGAGCACAAGAGCAGGGCCAGAGGCCAGTTCACATGCAGGAGTACAGACAAATATATATAAAACTAGACAAGCAAGAGCATGTATATATATATCACAGTACAAGTAAAGTCAAGAGGAGAGCAAGTGAGGCAAGACAGGCACAAGACCCAGCTGGGTGCAGAAGCGCTGATGGTCACAAGGCGCGAGTGCCTTGGTGAACACATCAGCAGTGTTGGCCTTAGAGGCCACGTACGCGAGCCGCAACTGTCCACGCTGCTGTAGCTCACGAGCAAGGAAGTAGCGAAGAGCAATGTGCTTCGTTCTGTGCTCCAGACGCTGCTCTCGACACAAGGCCAGCATGGCCTTGTTGTCTACGTACAGCACTGGAGGAGAACGAGGCGGCTCTCCAAGGTCAGTCAGCAGGTAGGTGAGCCAGCGAAGCTCCTGTGCAGCCATGGCCCCGGCGTAGATCTCAGCCTCACAACTGGAGCTGAGAACCGAAGACGAACGAGTAGCCCGCCACGAGACAGAGCCGGAACCAAGACTGAAGGTGTAACCCTGTGACGACCGCTGCGTAGCCTGGTCGTCAGCCCAAGAAGCGTCAGCGTGGCCTGTAAGGACTACTGGACTCCGCCCTCCAAGCACTAGCCCCATGCCCGACGTACTGCACAGGTAGCGCAATACCCTCTTCGCTGCAGCCATGTGCTCTGGTCGGTGTCTCCCAGGAGCAACATAGCGTGCAAGAATGCTCAAAGGGTATGCAAGGTCAGGTCGTGTGCAGGTCATCAGGTACATGAGGCAGCCAACAAGCTCTGGGTACGGGCCACTCGACTCTACGGACTCATCCGAAGGCAGAGCTGAGAGCGAGTGACGAGTAGACAGAGGAGTGGCCTGAGGCGAGGAGTACGTGAAGCCGAAGCGCTGAAGGACCTGCTGCACCATGTGTGACTGAGTCAAGGTAATGGTGCGGCGTGCTCTGTCCCGAGTGATCTGCAAGCCAAGGTAGCTGCGCAGTTCACCCAGGTCTGTGCACGTGTGTCTCTTCAGCAGCTCGGACTTCACGTAGGCGAGTCCAGCAGTGTCCGCTGTGGCAAAGACCAAGTCGTCGACGTACACGAGGATGTAGAACGGCGGCAGTGAAGTGTCGGTGCGCAGAAACAACGACGGGTCAGCAGTAGAAGGAGCAAACCCAAGAGCCGCAAGCGTAGTCCTCAGTGTGTCGTGCCACTCACGCGGTGCCTGGCGGAGACCGTAGACTGGCCGTCAGAGGCTCCACTGGGTGCCACGAGGAAAAGTCCCAGTGAAGCCAGGTGGACAGCGCAGCCAGATCTCCTCGTGCAGGCTACCCTGCAGGAACGCAGTGCTGAAGTCGAGAGAGTGAAGCTCGTAGTCGTGCTGAGCGGCTATGTGAAGCAGCACCCGAAGAGTGGTCATCTTCGGGGTGGGAGAGAAGGTCTGAAAGTAGTCAACTCCCTGCCGCTAACTGAAGCCACGAGCAACGTACCGCGCCTTGAAGACAGGTGGAGAGCCCGGCGGCCGCTTCACCCTGAAGATCCACATGCCACTGACGATGTTCGCCCCAGGAGGGGGAACTGCGTCAACGTAGGTGCCTGTGGACTTCCAGGAAGCCATCTCTGCATCCATAGCTGCCTGCCACTGAGAGGAGTAGGGACCCTCTACGGCCTCCGCGTAAGAGCGCGGAGTCGAGATGTCTAGTGCATCCGGGTCTCCCTCAGGAGCAAGCAGTACAGACGCGAGATGAGGTGAAGCAGCCGCCAGACACTGTAACTCCTCCTGCCTGTCCTCTAGGACGTCCGTGCCAAGAGCACACTCACCCCCGACGGACGGAGGACAGACAGACGCAGACTCAGCAACAAGACTAGCAGCGTAGTCTAGACGACAGCGAGCAGCAAAGTCGAAGAGCTCAGCGACAAGAGCAGACGCAGCACTGGACTCAAAAGAGGGGTCAGTGACGACAGTAGCAAGCAGACGCGTGACAGTAGGACTGGCAGCACGAAGGGAGTCCGACTCAGGGTCGGCAAGTGCAGGAAGAGAGGACTCAGGAGGAGAAGGCAAAGGGGCACGCAGAGGAGCAGAGGACGGACAAAGAGACATCCGGTGCGTGCCAGGGACAGGAGGAGGACGCTGACGTGAACCGCGACCACTAGCGCGAGCAGGACAAACAGGCGACGCGGGACGAGACGCAGGTTCACGACGCTCAGCAAGA